ATAAATAAATAGTAGATGGACACAATATCTTTTATTTATTTTTATGTGCTGCTGAGGATTGAACCCAGTGCCTTACCTGTGCTAGGCAAGCATTCTATCACTGAACAAGAACCCCAGCCCCCAGGGTGATCTTTCTTTTTTTTTTTTTTTTCATTTTCCTCTGTTTATTTCAAGAGAACAAAGAATTAACCATCAAATTTTGTACAAAAACATGGTATCAGAGCTGTGGCAACCCTTATGCCAGCCCCTTCCCATGCCTGAGCCCAGAGCCCCCCTCATTTGTGAAAAAACAGGAAAAAAAACCTCAAATTCTGGGGGGGGGGGGTTATTATGAAAAATCAGGGGAAACCTTCCTGGGCCCCCCTTCTTCCCTATCTCCAACCCAGGAACTTGGGTGGAGGCGCTGTGGTCCTGGCTACGGTGAGAAGTGGGGCAGGCAGTGGGCAGTTTAGTGTTTGGCAACCAGTGGGGCTGTGGGCAGAACCTGGAAAGGCCTGAGGGGCTCGAGGACGGGAAGAGACCCCTGGCCCGGCCTTGGCCCATAGTACACTTGAAAACAGTTTATAAAAATTGGGGCCAGAGAGTAGAAGAGAAAGGAGTCATCAGAATCAAAAACTAAATAGTGGAAAGATTTTTTATTTTTTCTTCTCTAAAAGGCAAAAAACTACAAACAGCCCAGGTCCTGAGCTCCCCAAGACTTGGGTCCTCCATTGCCCCCCACCCCAGCCCGGTAGGAGTGGGTATGGGGAGCAGGGAGAGATGGATTCTTTAAAAAGTCACCCCTGGACTGGAAGGCTCGTCTTCTGTCACCTTCCTCTGCCTCCCGACACTGCCAAGGAGAGGGCTGGTGAGGACCAGGGCTATGCCGGCAACCTTAGCTTCTTCCCCTTTAGGACTTTGGTGATACAGAGGTAGAAGAAATCGCAGTAGAGGACAGTCTGGACCAGGCCAGCCACGAAGGCGATGAGATCCAAGAAGCCCTCAAAGTGGTAGCGCCAGATCCAGTTGAAGAGATACAGGGTGCGGTAGACGCCCAGGGCAAACAGGTAGTGGCTCGTGATGGTCTCCGCCTCGCCAGTCTTGCTCACCATGAACAGTTGCGGCAAGATGGCCACCTGACTCCAGGTAGATGGAGAAGGTCCAGAGGATATCCAGAGGAGTGAAGTCGTGGTTGACCAGGAATGCCAGGATGGCTGTGGGGACAACAAGGAACTCCACCCGGAACGTATCGTGGTTCCCATGGTAAGTGGCTTTGAACTTGCTGTAAATCATCCAGACCGTGGTGAAAGAGCAGGCTGTGTAGACCACCTTCATGCACGTGTTGTAAAGTGAGATGTAGTTAGTGAAGAGGTCCAGGTAGCGGGCAGTGAACACCACAGCAAACAGGACCTGGCTCTTCCCTGAAATCCCGGCACACGAGCGGGACTTCCAGATTTTAAGCAGTAGTAAGATGATGGCTAGGAGGTGGGAGAGGTCTCCCAGGAATCGGAAGAGATTCATGGCTGGGCGGGCTCTGGCAGGGCTGAGCTGGAGGGAGGCAGGCTAGTGGGGGCTGCCCCCCGGGGCTGCTGTTCTGGCGGCAGTTGGGCAGAGGGGCGGGGGTGGGACCCTCCGGTGGGCTCCACTCCGGGGAGGGGGTTCTATGAGGGGGAGCCGAGGCCGGAGCTGGCGGCCGAGCTCCAGGGTGATCTTTCAATATGCGAATCTGAGCTAGTGAAGTCCTAAAGGATCCAAGGTCTCATTGGCAGGGAACACAATAGCTTTTGATATTTGGTCTTTTATTCACAAACCTCTCCAGCTACTTCTTTTTTGCCCAATGTCTCAATTCAGAGGTCAGACTATCAGATTTTGAATTCCGACTCTCCCATATAGTTTTTTTTTACCTTATATAAGTAAAAAAGCCTCTCCATATTCAATTGTATTCAAAGCTATACGTTATATAAAAACGAAAACATTATGTCACTATAGGAACTTTGGCTCCTAAGCTTTTAAAATACTATAAAACAAATATCTCATGCTTTTATATAACCATATATCATGTTTCTGATTTACTTATACTCTAGAGTCAGACCACCTAGATATATGAATCTCAGCTCCAGCACTTATATTAATGATATTCTTTTTTAAAAAACATCAAATTGTATGCTTTATTTTTGTGTGGTGCTGAGTTAAAGGCGAGTGACTCACCGGAGATGAAAATTCAACCAAGAGATTTTATTGGGTGGGGGGGCGGCTGCCCTAAGAAAAGGAGAGGAAGAGAGCAGCAGCCTGAGCCTCTCTCCTCAAGAGACAGAAACTTAAGTTCAGTGGGAGAAACCCGGAAGGGGGAAATGAAACCAAAAGGCAAGGTCTCCCACACACCCAACACTGAGGATCAAACCCAGCACTCTACTGAGCCACAACTCCAGCCCTACTATATTCTCTTTGGCAAGTGACTTCTCTGCTTTTCCTATTTGTAAAATGAGAACAAGAGTATCTGCCTCATGGTAATTATTGTGAGGAATAAATGGATTAACATACCTATAAATGCTTCAAATGATGTTGGGCATCATTGTGTTAATTATTATTTGAACAATGGGGTAAATAAGTTCTTAATTTCCGACCTGTTTAGGTGCTCTTCTAATGAATCTTTTTTTTTTTTAATATTTTTAGTTGTAAGATAGACACAATACCTTTATTTTATTATTTTATGTGGTGTTGAGGATCAAACTCAGTGCTTCACATGTGCTAGGCAAATGATCTACCACTGAGTTACAACCCAAGTCACACAATGAATTTTGAGCAAACCAGAGCGTCCTTTTATCATGGAAATTAGCACAATATATTAAAACTGTTTTTTTTTTTTTTTCACTCATACCTTAAGATGATTGAAAGATATTTCTTTGCTTCAAGCACTCTGGCCTCTAAAAACACCTAGGGTTTGCCCCTTATCTGTCTTAGAACCTTTTCAGTCTGCCTACCACTCTCTCTCTCCAAATACCATACATGACTTCAAATTTCAAATATGCCCAGTCAAGTATTCTGACTTTGCATATGAACAGACATTAAATGATACTCATACCATCACAGATGGATTTTTGTTGAATGTTCTTTTCTGTATGCACTCAAACCAATTTCTTAGAACAGCAAAAACAATTTATATTTTTCCATTTTCACTTTGCTGAAATTATTTTTATTGAAAACATTTTTCTTCATAAATCATAAGGCTAAAAAATGATTCAATGATCAGCTTATGCAAATATCAAATTCTTCAGGTAATAGTTTTTGGCACTAAGTTCCTCAGGATCAAATTAAAATCTAAATTTTATTGATACAATTCTTCTATTAATTTGGTCAAGAACTGTGGAGGAAATTTTAATTTGTTGAATATTTCTATCAAGTCTATTTTTTTTTTTTGTAGTAGGGATTGAACTCAAGGCAAGGGTGCTTTTCCATTGAGCCACATCCACTGAGCCACACCCCCTTTTCATTTTTTGAGAAAGAATCTCACTAAGTGACCTCACTAAATGCTGAAGCTGGCTTTGAACTTGCCATCCTCCTGCCTTAGCCTCTGGAGCCACTGGGATAATAGGCATTCGCCACCTCTCCCAGTGGTATACAATTTTTAATCTTACAGTTCTTCAGTTAAATTTATCTCTAATACATTTATTATATGCAGCATCAGCTATTCTGGTTTTATTTTTATAACTGAAATTCATTTATTGTTATTTGAATAAACAACTGTTTGAATTCATAACTTACCTAAACATGGAGAAAACTGTAATCCCCTCATGAGTTCTCGAGGACTGTCCTTGGGGTCAAAACATCTTATATTTCTTTTCCCATTCAACTGTCATCACACACTTAACACCTGCTCATATCTCAGATGCCAAATCAAGCATCATTTATTTGCTCCAGGAAGACTCCGGATCCCTAAGACTAGAAAAGTTCCTCTCTGTGCTTAGATTGTACATTTTAATCTTCTTTTATTACAATTAGTATAGTGTACAATTATATATTTCCATAAATATTTATTGTTTCCCTCGATAAATTCCTGAAGGCAGAGACTTTATTTATTAGATCCCTGGTACAAATCCTTTTTTTTAAATCCTCAATACGTCTCACTAATACTAGGCATTCATTAAAGTGGTTTAGATCTCCCCATTATTGTTTTATTTCTGGATTGTTATAGCTTGACAGTTAAAGATCAATTTTTTTTTCTCTAATTTTGAAAAAAAAATTAGGTTGGGGGTTCCGGTGATTGAACTCAGGGGCATTCGGCCACTGAGCCACATCCCCAGCCTGATTTTGTATTTTATTTAGAGACAGGGTCTCACTGAGTTGCTTAGTGCCCTGCCATTACTGAGGCTATCTTTGAACTCTTGATCCTCCTGCCTCCACTGGGATTACAGGCGTGTGCTGCTGTGCCCAGCTAATTTTGAAAATTGATCCTGACATCTCCATATTGGGGATTGAGCACAGGGGTGCTCTACCACTGAGTTACATCACAGGATTTTTGTATTTTAGACAGGGTCACATTAAATTGCCCAGGCTGGCCTTGAACTTGCAAGCTGGGATTATAGGTGTGTGCCACAATGCCCAACTGGAAAGTTGATAGTTTCTAGCCTTTAAACAGTATATTATTTATTTAGCTCTTCATTTCTGATATCAGTAAATGAAACAACCAGATATTTGGTGATCTATTTCCTAATATAAAGCCAATATAAATGTCATTAAACCAACTCATAAAAATACACTATGGATTTAACAAACGTAACTACCAACATCCAGAGATTATTATTAAAAATGAATGTCTGTACATATGTGTGCTTGTGTTATCAGTGGTATAATTATGCAAATTTAATATAAATCCATTGCTGGGTCTGGAATTATTTCACAGGAAAAAAAAAAAACTTTAAGAAAATATTCCCAGTCCCCAATACTTCTTAAGTTTTTAAGAGACACCCAAGTAATTATGATGCAAGAGGTTCAACAACAATACTTTAAGAAACACCTTATACTAGATACACCTTTTAGCAAAGACTTATAAACATATTGAGCAATGTTTATAGGCTACAGAAAAATGTTTTAAATAACAGTGGCATATGGTCCAAGTAGAAAATACATTTTCTTTATTCAAAGCATGTTGACTTTCATGTTTCACACAAAGCTGTACCAAAGCTACATTTTAATTTCATCATATTCCACTCCAAATTCTTTACCATTTACCAAAGATAACTTTTTTATAAAGCTTACTATTTTGTCTAATATTATACAGATTATCAATCTATATTTTTTGTGTGTTTCTCTCAAAAATTAAAATAGCTTATAAGGATATAATATAAAACTAACTGGTATATTACACACCAAACATAAGTACAGATTCTGTACAATGTAACAGTATACATACATATTACAAGAGACTAATGCCTTGTTAAAAGTAATATTTTAAGAAATCTTTCATGGAAAAAAACTCTGCATTATAAAACGTGGCTTGAGTACCAGCTATTTTCCTTTCATGAGTTTCTTTCAGTGGGCATTAACTGTCCATTTAGCTTCATTAACAGTTTTACCACCAGACCAGCCTATAAAGTAAAACATATGTTAACAATAAATATCAAACAATCAAGAATATTTAAAGAATACACACGGCAGTGGGCAGTTATCTACCTAACTTGAAAGGGAACTTTCTTATTAAGAGGTAGTCTCTCAAGAAGTTGAACTCAGGGAGAATTTACTCAGGCTTTTTGAAAAGATTTAAGAAGTGACTTGCTGAACACAACTAGTAGCTCAGGATAGGATACTAGAAGAGGAGGGAAGGACTATCTAAAACCTTGGTAGAAGAGACAGGGAATACTAATCAGAATTAAAAGAAATGGCACAATAAAGAGATTAATTGTCATAAATTTGAAATGAATTAGTTAAGTTTCTGGTTTTCTTTGCTTAGGAAAGGCCTTTCATTTTTCCCTTAAAATTTCATCTAATATTAGAAGTTTTTCTTTAAAAAGGATTATGGATTATGTCACTTAAAAATAACTTTACTAGTATAACTGTTTAGTCCAAAATAATTGATAAATACTTACCTGTTTTGTATGTACAATAAAGCTCATTTTATTCTCCATACTATGGATCTGAAAACAGGTATCAGCATCTCCCAATTGCCACATAAAACAACCATACTTAAGACTGATGAGTAAAGCCTGCAAAATAATCAAGAATCATTGTATTAATTAAAATACATATTAAAAACAACTATCTTCCCTTACTGTCCACATTTATCTAGTAAGTTCTAAACATTATGGTTTTGAGTATGATCATATAATCCATTAGAATGCCACACTAACCTCACACAACCTGTGGCACAGAACCTGGATGAGCAATGATATTCTTTTAATGATGTCCAACTTAGGGCTGGGGCTGTATCTCAGTGGCAGAGTGCTTGCCTAGCATGTCCAAGGCACTGAACATCATATATAAATAAAATAAAGTCATGCTGTCCATCTACAACTACAAAAAAATGTAAAAAAAAAAAATTATAAAAAAAGATGCCCAACTCATTAGTGACTTTCAAAATAATGAAATGTACTGCAAACTTTTTTTCCCCTGCAGTTAAGAACAGCCTCTTTAATTTACTCAGTACTTTTCTTTTAAAACAACCAATTCCAATCAAACATGGTATTAATTTACTTGAGTGTATATTATATATAGTTTAAAAAAAAATCTTGTTTTAAAATCTTCTTTTAAATATTCACATGGTACTTTCAAATCTGAAATTTATGCAACAGGGGAAACAGGATGACTTAGGCAATTTTTACACCACTAAAATAAGGACACAGACATATGTATTGTAAAAATAAGCATAATTATAAAAAATAGTAATCAATCTTTCATAAATTTAACAGAACTATTTAAAACATCAATATTACAGTAATCCATTCTTTGATTTTTCTTAACAATGCTGTATTTAGTAGGTACACAGAAAGTATTTGTGCTATACTTTAAAATACATATGTTTAGGCCAGGTGTAGCACATGCCTGTAACCTCAGGAACTTGTGAGGTTGAGGCAGGAAGATTCCAAGTTCCAGGTTAGGCTCAGCAATTTTGTGAGACCCTGTCTCAAAATAAAATATAAAAGGCTGGGGGCATGGCTCAAAGTTAGAGGGTCTCAGATTTCAATCCCCAGTATCAAATCTATATGTATATATGTATGAATGGTTAGGAACATTAGCAATCTATGAGTAACAATTCTTAGAATATTGACTATAAATAATAAACTAAGCATATACCAAAAAGATAATTGTTTGGGGCACTTTAAAAAAATATTTTTAGTTGTAGATGGACACAATACCTTTATTTTGTTTATTTAGGTTTTTTTTTTTTTTTTTTTTTTTTTAATGTGGTGCTGAGAATCAAACCCAGTGCCTCATGCATGCTAGGCAAGTACTCTACTGCCGAGCCACAACTCGAGTCCAGTTTGGGGCACTTTTAAAGTAAGGTTATGTAAATAAAACATGGTATAAATTTACATGAGTATATATTATATATAGTTTTAAAAAAGCCATCCACATCGTATTGCAAACTTTACAGACAGAATATGCTAAAATACTACTTACCAACGTACAGACTGAAACGCTTATTCAAGATATAATACCTTAAACCAACTATCTTTTACATTACTTGAAATCTCTTAAGCTAAAGCCAAAAAAATGGTCCATTAAAATGGCCTCAAAACAGTTTAATATGCAGAAAAAAAAAAAACCCTGTGGTACAGCAACTTTCAGTTGTACAGAGGTCAGATTTCTAACAAAAGTTATTACTGAGTCCATAAGTTAAAGATAAAAGTTTTGTGGTTAAAGGACAACATGCAGTGAGGAAGAATTCTTGAGAGACACCAAACAGTAAGCAGTTGAATGGAATTGAGGAGCAGAGTCCAAATGATAATTTTAAGTGATAAGTCTACTCCAGAAGGAAAAAGTAGTCCTCATTATAACAAGGTGCTCAGTAAGGAAAGTCAAAAATCATAATAGTTGAGAACAGGGACAGTTGAGAACAGAAAAAGGCACAGAGTAGCACATAGATGACCAGCAGAGAGGAGAAACAATTATATTGATAACTGATTATGTAGAATGGTACCAGGTGGGTGTTTAAACAACCAATTCCAACCAGAAGGGCATTATGGTCAATATAAATCAACATCAGCAAATGATAATCTATTGTTTTGTGGTAATGGCATTTATTAAGGTTGAAGACATATCAAGAAGTACAGTTCAGCTGTGAAGAATGCAACATATTCACTACAGTAAAACACTGAGCCATGATTTTAAGTGAATAAACACTGCATTTATCTATTCAATAGTGTTTACATTTTATGTAGGCAGAACAGACAAATCTTTGACAAGCACATGAAATTGGCTGAGTTATATTTTCTGATGGGCAATTTTCATTATTTCAAAGAGAAAGAAGATGTAGAAGGTAGACGTAATTGATATAAAAAACATAGCTATATTCTGTGGCTTTGCCTGAGAATTAATCTCTGAGGCTAATGTATCCCATTTGGTGTTTTAAATTCAAATTAAGGTATTTTTACAGATGAAGGTGTTTATTTTAATGAAGTTGTGTCACATTCAATCATAGTACATCTTGCTGAATCCAAGACCAGCGAGGACAACCTGGTTGTTTCTACCTTTGATAACTGGAAAATATAATCATCTTAAAGCTTTTCAAAGTGCCATATATTTATAAGTGGCTTATGCAGGGACAGAAAGCATGTTTAGATTTTGGTTCAATCATCTTTTTATATACTCAAGGATAGTATTCCTATTTATTTTTCTAGAAGCTGAACATATTATCCTGAAAAAGCAATCTGTTAATTAATAATATAGCTAACATTCCCTGTCTACTACTACTCTCTCACTTATTCAACTTCTGGACCAGACTGTTATTTACAATATAAATATTTTAAGGTATTGTTAAACTACCTTCTGAATACTATATATATATTACCATCCAATTCCATGAATAAGAATTTGTAAATGTTGGTATAAGATGCTCTATATAAATAGCAAAGAAAAATTTCCTGAAATGGAGGGGGTAATTTCTCCTTCATTTAACAAGTTTAGAAATGAAACAGAAAAGTGCTATAAGTTTTATAAGCAGCAGTGTATTTTATGTAAGCAAAAAAAAATTTTTTTTTTTTGGTGGTGCTGGGGATTGAACCCAGGGCCTTGTGCATGTGAGACATGTACTCTACCAAAAGTACCACCAAACAGTAACAAATTTCTGAGCTATATCCCCAGTCCCGCAAAATAGTTTTAAAAGAAAATAAGCAAAAGGCCCAAAAGCAAGCTGGCTTATAAGGGTATTCAAGAAATCAAACTCAGGTCAGTAACTGAAGTCAGACTTTATTCTGCTCCATTTCCCTAAATCTTCTCTAGTCCCATCCACAGGTTTATCTGACAACTTCATTAAATAATGCTGCCCATAAGGATGATCCTGAGTTAATATTAAATAATTATGACTGGGATAATTTAAAAAGTTATGTGATCATCATAATAAAGACTTATAAAAATTAGGAAAAGAAAAATTAAATTTATTAGCATATTTCCCAATCTAAAATGTGTTTTTAAAATGCACAAGTTTGGCTGGGGCTGTAACTCAATGGCACAGCGCTTGCCTAGCATGTGTGAGGCACTGGGTTCGATCCTCAGCACCACATAAACAAATAAAATAAAGGTATTCTGTCCATCCACAACTATAAAATATATTTTAAAAAAATAAAAAATAAAATGCACAGGTTTAGTTTACATTAATTGATTTGGAAATTCTTGGCAAATCTGAGTTAACAAATTAGATTTGATTTTTATTTTCTTTTTATTATAAACTAGTCATCCATCCTGCTTAAATGTGTGAAGTGTTAAAAATAAACGACAAACCTATATTTTATATCATAATAAATTTGATTAGAAAAAGATGCAAGCACCAAACAGTAACAAATTTCTGACTGGAGTGCTTTTTAGTGTTCTAATGGATATTTATAACCCTTCCAAGCTTCACACTATCCACCAAGAGCTTCTTATAACTAGTCCCAATTTTCAAAATGAAGCCCTTGTATCAGATATATTTTTCTTCTTAAATTCTGCATTTTCCATTTAAACCCACTTGATATTTTAAATAGGTTATTATAATCACATAGTAAAAAACTTTTGACTTTCAAGATGGTGTTATTATGTTTGTGACCATTCCTAAGATTCCTATGTTGAAATTTTAACCCCTAGTGTGACCAATGTGATGGTAGTAGATGTATAGCCTTTGGAAGATAATTAGGTCACGAGGGTAGAGCCCTCTTGAAGGGGATTAGTGCCCTCATAGAAGGGTCCCCAAGAGCAACCAAGAAAAAGGCCTTTTCCAGAAGCTGACCATACTGATGCCTGATCTCCGACTTCTAGTTTCCAGAATTGAGAAATAAATTTCCATTGTTTATAAGCCATTCAGTCTAAGGTACTTTGTTATAACAGCCTGAACTCAGATAGGTACATATTGAAAAGTCTCCCTTCTAACTCCAGTTCCCAATTACATGTGTCCCTTCTCAAAAGGCTTCAAACATTTTTTAATGTATACATCATGTTCTTCAGGTAAAAATAGTCTCAACCTCCTTCCATTTTTATACCAATTGTAGCGTATTACATGTGGTTTGGCACCATTTTCACTAAATATACTGTGTAAATATATTACTATACACAAAAATACTCCATATACCTAAGATATTCTAATCAGGAATGTATTTAATTAATGTTAAAACTCCTTACTGGAAGTCATTTAGTCACACGCCTCCCCCAGCATTATTTGCAATGAATGAAACTTCAATGAAAAGTTATACATATATGCTATTTCCAGTTTCTTCACATAGGCTGGTACTGTTAGTTTAGCAGTTATATGACATGACTGGTCAAAAACAGCTAAAAATATACCTTAGTTTCCATGTTGAGGAGATGAAGTCCTTTTATATTTACTCCTACGTACACAGGGATGACTTTATGATTGCTGGGGCTTGCTTTTGTAAATATCTGTCCTGTGAAAAAAGCTGCTCCATATGTAGGAATTTCCCAACAATTCTGTAAGAACATGCGCTGCAGGTGATGCATTTCTTTACTGACACCTTCACTTGTACTAAGATTCTAAAAACAATTACAAATAAAAGAGACATGAAAGAGAATTACAAGTATGATAATCCAAACAGGCCAACTACGTAGTTTCTTAAATCAAGGTTTTCCCCAAAGAATGAAATTATGGCACATTATCATAAGAGTACTTTTTCTTTTTATAATTTTTTTTAATACCTTTATGTTATTTGTTAATTTTTATGTGGTGCGGGGAACAAACCCAGTGACTCATGCATGCTAGGCAACTGCTCTACCACCGAGCCACAACCCCGGCCCTCTTTTTATAATCTTAATATTAAAAAAAAATATGCTGAGGTCTAAAAATATTATTTGTCTATTCCATTAATTTTAAGTGCCTCATGGGCAGGGATAGTATATTATTTCAAAATTTTATTCCTATCCTTTACCAAAATATTCAGCACATAGATGTAAAAGATTCTACATTACTAAAAATATCTTGCTATTTTCAGTTTTGGACATTGTAAACCAAAAGATCCATTTAGAAGTTCAGGACTATGAGTTTACTATACCTATGTTTAAAAGATTAATAACACTAACAAAATATCAAGTAGGCTATAAAAATGTCTTTTTATTTTCATTAAACAGCTTACCTTATATTCATGAAGAATTCGATTTGTCCAGTGTGGTGCCTTACTTTTTAGTTTGGTAATAGGTACAATGGATTTTAGATTTTCTTCACTGTAAGCACACATGCAAACATCCTTTAAGTCATCTTTGGTACTCAAGTACACTAATCCCTCTGTAACAGATGGCTTTAAATGACACAATTTTTAAACTGAAAAATACTGCTTTAAAAATTAGAGAACTCAAAAATTTTAAGAGTTCAAGTTGTGGGAAAACGTCACAACATTTGCAATAGAGAATGTTTCTTCTTTCAAGAGCCAGAAAATGTTTTTGAAAGTTGAAAAGCACAATAAACAAACTGTAGATGTGCTCAAATCTCAGTGTTTTCTCTGAAAGATTGAACATGATTTTAATTTTTATGGTAGGATGTCTAAGTGCATCTGCCTTATAAAATTTTTTACTACTTATTCAAGTCAGGTTTTAGTGAACTTATTTAAACATACAGTAAAGAAAGATATAAAAAAATAAATATGAAGTATATCAAAATAAAAATCAAACATAAGAAAAATAACTTTGGAAAATAAAACTTTAAGAATGCTTTATTACAGAAGCTGGGGTTTGTTTGTTTTCGCTTTCATTCTGTTTGTATTATTTAATTCCAAATCAATGTATAAAAATGTTCTAATAAAATTTCAAAACTTTCTTGGTTAGATGGAATCTTTAGCATAGCACAAGACCATACACAGCATTAAATACTTACTTTAGGAAACCTTGCTTGTGTTTCTTACTTTCATAATTTCCATACACTATTTGCAACAGCAGGCTTGCCAATGTTATCAGTTTAGCATCAGGAGCTGTATAAAAGCCCTTTAATAAATTATATCTGGCTTCATCAAAGAGAATAAGAATAGCTAGTGGGTCCTCAATCTTAAAAGAAAAAGTATAATGTGGTTATCAGGCTACAATTTCCTTTTAAAAATATACAGCTTGTCACTGTATAATAAAGAAAAAGCAGAAAATGCACATTTATACATCAATGAACTGTTACTGCTTTAGAGCAGGAGTTGTGGAAACTTTTTCTAAGGGCTAAATAGTAATATTTTAAGCTTTGTGAGCCATATAATCTCTGTTGCAACTACTCAACTTTATCATTATAGTATAAAAGCAGCTTCAGGCAATACTTAAATAAGTGGTATGGCATACAACTTTTTGTAAAGATACTCAATTTGAATTCCAGAAAATTTTCACATGATTTAAATTTTATTCTTTACATTTTTTAACCATCATAAAATATAAATATGCATTCTTAGCTTTTAGGTTATACAAAAATAGGAAACAGGCAGGATATGATCATGACTATAGTTTGATAACCCTGATTGACCATCTAATAATATTACCTTCAGTTTATGGATATCTATGAACTCTAGCACTAAATCTTTATATTCATAAAAATATTTTCTATTACCTATGTTTATACACTGTATTAGTGAAGATAAAAAGGAAGTTTATCAATTCCAAGAAGGACAAATGTACTTTAAAATGCTTGTCTTATGGGTTTTCTTTCTTTTTTTTTTTTTTTAACTAGGGATTAAATCCAGGGGTACTTAACCATCGAGCAACATCCCCAGTCCTTTTTTATATTTGAGAGACAGGGTCTCACTGAGTTGCTTAGGGCCTTGCTAAGTTGCTGAGGTTGGCTTTGAACTCATGATCTTCCTGCTTCAGCCTCCTGAACTGCTGGGGTTACAGGCCTGCACCACTGCACAATGGAATATTACTCAGCCTTAAATGAAATTATGGCATTTGCAGGTAAATGGATGAAGCTAGAGAATATCATGTTAAGTAAAATAAGCCAATCCCCCAAACCAAAAGGCCTAATGTTTTCTCTGATAAGCTAATGTTGATCCATAGTTGAGGATAGGTAGGGAAGAATGAAGGAACTTTGGATTGGGCAGAAGGGAGTGAGTGGAAGGGTGGGGCTGTGGAGATGGGAAGGGGGTAGAATGAAACATTATTACCCTATGTACATGTATAATTACTCTATTGGTGTGACTCTGCACCATGTATAGCCAGAGGAATGAGAAGTTGTGCTCTATTTGTGTAAAATGTGTCAAAATGCATTCTACTCTTCTGTATAACTAATTAGAACAATTAAAAAAATTTCTTTTAAAGCTTGTCTTAAAGGAAACATTTTTTATATTATCTGAATAAAGATTTTTGTACTTAGGAATAACATTAAAAGCATAGTTTGCGGGTGCACATCTCTAATACCAGCGGCTTGGGAGGATGAAACAGGAGGATTGCAAGTTGAAAGCCAGCTCAGCAACAGTGAGACGCTAAGCAACTCATTGAGACCCTGTCTCAAAATAAAATACAAAATAGGGCTGGGGATGTGATTCTCAGTGGTTGAATGCCCCTGAGTTCAATCCCTGGTACAAAAAAAAAAAAAGTTAAAAAAGATTTTTATCAAATAAATAATTCTATTTTTCTTGTTTCTTTCTCTTAAAAGGGATCAAGAAGGACATTTCATACTGTTTACGGGAAACATTCATCAACAAGTCACAACAATAATAAATTTATATGCCCCAAACAATAGAGCATCTTCGTTCATCAAACAAAGTCTTCTCAGGTTCAAGAGTCCTAGACCACAACACAATAATTCTGGATAACTTTAACACACCTCTTTTACCACTGGATAGATCACCCAAACAAAAGCTGAAAAAAGAAACTGTAGAGCTCAATAACATAATCAATAACTTAGACTTAACTGACATATATAGAATATTACATCTTTCAATGAGTGAATACTCTTTTCTTCTCAGCAGCACATGAATCCTGCTCTAAAATAGGCCATATATTATGCCACAAAACAAGTCTTAGCAAATATAAAAAAGTAGAGATACTAGCCTGCATTCTACCAGACCATAATGGAATGAATGATAAAATAAAAAATAAAAGCTACTCTAATACCTGGAGACTAAATAATATGCTACTGAATGAACAATGGGTTGCAAATGACATCAAAGAGGAGATTTAAAAATTCTTAGAGGTGAAAGAAAACCAGATACAACATATCAAAAACTTTGGAACACTATGAGGGCAGTCCTAAGAGGAAAGTTCATTGCATGGAGTTCATTCTTTAAAAGAAGAAAAGTCAAAAAATAAATGACTTAACATTACATCTCAAAGCCCTAGAAAAAGAAGAACAAATCAACACCAAAAGCAGTAGAAGAAGGAAATAATTAAAAGCAGAGCTGAAATCAATGAAATTGAAACAAAAGAAACAACTGAAAAATTGACAAAACAAAAAGTTTTGGTTCTTTGAAAAAATAAATAAAATTGACAAACCCTTAGCCATGCTAATGAAGAGAAGGAGAGAGAAAACTACTAACATTCGTGATGAAAAAGGAAATATCACAACAGACACTATAGAAATACAGAAGATAATTAGAAATTATTTTGAAAACTTGTACTTCCATATAATAGAAAATATCAAAGGCTTGACAAATTTCTAGAGTCATATGATTTGCCCAAACTGAAAGGATGATATACACAATTTAAACAGATTAATTTCAAGTGACAAAGTAGAAGACACCATCAGAAGCCTACAAACCAAGAAAAGCCCAGGACCAGATGGATAAACAGCCGAGTTCTACAAGACCTTTAAAGAAGAACTAATACCAATACTCTTCAGGAAACAGAAAAAGAGGCAGCACTTCCAAACTCATTCTATGAGGCCAATATCACCCTGATTCCAAAACCAGGCACAGACACATCAAAGAAAGAAAACTTCAGACCAATATCTCTATTGAACATAAATGCAAAAATTCTCAATAAAATTCTGGCAAATCAAATACAAAAACAAATCTAAAAGATATTCCACTATGATCAAATGAGGTTCATTCCAGGGATGCAGGGTTGGTTCAACATACAGAAATCAATAAATGTAATTCATTACATCAATAGACTTAATGATAAGAACCATATGATGTTGAGAGCCACAGCCGAAAGGGCCCCAGCAAACTTCCAGCTGCCAGCTGATGATTGGCTCACAGCGGCCCCAACAAACTTCCAGCTGCTAGCCGACTGACTGGGTCGCGTGGGCGGAGCCAAAAGAGTCCCCCAATGAGCAGCTCCGTGGTCTGAAAGGGCGGGGAAACAGCCCAATGAGCATCACCGCAGAGGAGCCAATCAGCTAGCAGCTGGAAGTTTGCTGGGGCCCCTTTGGCTGTGGCTCTCAACAATATGATCATCTCAATTATTGCAGAAAAAGCACTCAACAAAATACAGCAGCCCTTCATGTTCAAAACACTAGAAAAACTAGGGATAACAGGAACACATTGCAACATTGTAAAGGCTATCTGTGCTAAGCTCCAGCCCAACATCATCCTAAATGGAGAAAACTGAAAGCATTACCTCTGAAAACTGGAACAAGACAGGGATGCTCTTTCACCACTTCTATTTAACATAGTTCTTGAAACACTAGTTATAGCAATTAGATGAAAGAAATTAAAGGGATACACATAGGAAAATAAGAACTCAAATTGGCACTATTTGCTGACTATATGATTCTATACCAGAAGGCCCCCAAAAAATCTACCAGAAAACTTATAGAATTAGTAAATGAATTCAGCAAATTGGCAGGATTCAAAATCAACCCATAAATCAAAGCCATTTCTGTATAACAGTGACAAATCCTCTGAAAAGGAAACGAAGAAAACTACCCCATTTACAATAGCCTCAAAAAAATAAAATAAAATACTTGGGAATCAACCAAACAAAAGAGGTGAAATACCTCTACAATGGAAACTACAGAACACTAAAGAAAGAAATTAAAGAAGACCTCAGAAGATGGAAAGATCTACTTTGTTCTTGTACAGGCAGAATTAATATTGTCAAAATGACCATACTACCAAAAGCATTATACAGATTTAGTGCAATTCCAATCAAAATCCAACATTCTTCATAGAAATAGAAAACGCAGTCATAAAGTTCATCTGGAAAAAATAAGAGACCCAGAATAGCTAAAGCAATCCTTAGCAAGAAGAGTGAAGCAGGTGGCATCACTATACCAGACCTTAAACTATCTACAGAGCAACAGTAACAAAACAGCATAGTATTGGCACAAAATAGACTGGTAGACCAATGGTACAGAATAGAGGATGCAGTTATCTTTATTAGACAAAGGCATAAACAGAAAAATGTAAAAACATACGTTGGAGAAAAGATAGCCTCTTCAACAAATGGTGCTGGGAAAACTGGAAATCCATATGAACAAGATAAAATTAAACAGCTATATCTCACCATGCACAAAACTCAACTCAAAGTGGATCAAGAACCTAGGAATTAAACCAAAGACATGTGTCAAATAGAATAAAAAGTAGGCCTAAATCTCCATTATATCGGATTAGGCCCCTACTTCCTTAATAAGATTCGTATAGTGCAAGAATTAAAATCAAGAATTAATAAATGGGATGAACTCAAACAAAAGTTTCTTCTCAGCAAAAGAAACAATCTGTGAGGTGACTAGAGAGCCTACATTTTGGGAGCAAATCTTTACCCCTCACACATCAGATAGAGCACTAATCTCTAGGGTATATAAAGAACTCAAAAAGCTAAACACCAAAAAAAAAAAAAAAAAAAAAAAAAAAACAAACCCAAAAAACAAACAAACAAAACCCAATCAATAAATGGGCCAAGGAACTGAACAGACACTTCTCAGAAGGTGATATGCAACCAATGAACAAATACATGAAAAAATGTTCAACATCTCTAGCAATTAGAGAAATGCAAATCAAAATCACTCTAAGATTTCATCTCACTCCAGTCAGAATGGCAGCTATTAAGAATACAAACAACAGTAAGTGTTGGCAAGGATGTGGGGAAAAAGACACACTCACACATTGCTGGTGAGACTAAAAAATGGTACAGCCAATATGAAAAGCAGTATGGAGTATCCTGGGAAAACTTGGAATGGAACCACGTTTGAACCAGCTATCCTACTCTTCGATCTATTCCCAAAGGACTTAAAAAACAGCATACTACAGGGATACAGCCACATCAATGTTTATTGTAGCACAATGCACAATAGCTAAACTGTGGAACCAACCTAGATGCTCTTCAGTAGATGAATGGATAAAAAAAAATGTGATATATATATATATATATATATATATATACACACACACACACACACACACACATACACAATGGAATATTACTCAGCAATAAAAGAGGATAAAATTATGCTAAGTGAAGTTAGTCAATCCCAAAAAACCAAATGCCAAATGTTTTCTCTGATGTAAGGAGGCTGATTCATAGTGGGGTTGGGAGGAGGAACATGGGAAGATTAGACCAACTCTAGATAGGGAAAAGGGGAGGGAGGGCAAGGGAGGGGAAAAGGGGTGTAAAAAAGATGGTGGAATGAGATGGACTTTATTACCCTAAATACATGTATGAAGACACAGATGGTGTGAATATGCTTTGTGTACAACCAAAGATATGAAAAATTGTGTTCTATATTGTTATATGAATTGTAATGCATTCTGCTGTCATATACAACAAATTAGAATAAAAAATTAAAAGAAAAAAAAACCAGAGATGGGAAGACCATTCTAAACTAAGAATCTAATGATAAGGTCAAATACAAAGTATGATCCTTGACAGATCGTTCAGGTGAGAGGCTATAAGACTTTTTGAAACAATTAGGAAAAATATTAATTTGGATATTAGCTGTTATTATGGAAATATTTTATTAGGTTGAAAATGGTATTGTGGTATGTAGGTATGTCCTTTAGGAAATGAACACTAAAATAAGTAGGAATGTGTCATGATATCTACAACTCAATTTAAAATGGTTCACAAAGGAAAAAGAGATAAAGGAAATGTGGCAAAAAATTTAACAATTAGTCAAATAGATAGAATATAATGTGAATTGTAATCACTTTTCAACTCATGTAGTTTTTTTTAAATTTCTCGAGATAAAATGTTGAAAGACTGATGGAGAGCTTATTTTCTGGTATAAACTGACAAGAAAATTAGGAGAGTCTGAGTAGATACCAACATATACAATTCCCTATGTTAAATGAGTGTTAATCAACCTCTGTTCTTTTCTAGTGAAATCAAGCTGTTTTCATTCTAAGAGAATGATGCTAACCAATAAATATAATTCTTCATTTTTTCAGATGATACAAATAGGAATTTCTCTATTATACAATGAGTGAAAGGAAAAAAATATTTTAACAGATGATCATGATATTCTGTATTTGCCGTAAGAATTTACTAAGCACTGTTTTTTTACTTGAGCCCACTTTATTTTATAGTTTACTTATGCATTTGTTTATCATCCAATATTATCATTAATGCTCCTTCTATCAACTTTTAAAATATTACATGACTGGAGAAGGTAGATTGGGTATACTTAGATTACTTAGATTACTTTATGAAACTAGGGGCTGAGGTTGTAGCTCAGCAATAGAGCGCTCCTCTAGTATGTGTGAGGCAACTGGGTTCAATCCTCAGCACCACATAAAAATTAAATAAATAAAATGAAAGGTGTCCAACTACAATTAAAAAAATATTTAATATATTATGGAACTAATATACTTTTAAAAATTATAGTAGTATACCCAACATAAAGTTGTCATTTTACCAAAAAAAGTGAATAATTCAGTGGCATTAATTACATTCAAAATTCATGCTACTATCACCAACTGCACAGCTTTCACATTATGTTAACAGAAACTCTATAACCATTAAGATGAAGTGGAGCCAGGCACAGTGGCACATGCCTGTAATCCCAGTGGCTCAGGAGGCTGAGGCAGGAGGATAGTGAGTTCAAAGCCAGCTTCAGCAACGGTGAGGCGCTAAGCAACTCAGTGAGACCTTGTCTCAAAATAAAATACAAATAGGGCTGGGGATGTGGCTCAGTGATTAAGTGCCCCTGAATTAAATCCCCAGTACCCCTCTTCTCCCTCCCCAAAAAAGAATGAGCAGAGCTGGAGGTATAGCTCAGTGGCAGAGTATATGTTAGCATGTACAAGGTCCTGGGTTTGATCCCTAGCACCCCAAAAGAAACAAACCAAAACCAACCAAACAAACCAAAACCACTGCTCCCCAGCAAAACCAAACCAACCCAAACCAAAACCCTCCCCAGCTCCTCCACTGATACTTTTAGTAAGCTCTGATCTACTTTCTATTTATGAATTTGCTTTTTCTAGATAATACAATGTAAGTGGAATCATACAATAGTAGTGTTTTTGTGTCTGGCTTATTTTACTTAATATAATGGTTTCAAGATTCATCCCTGTTGTGGTAAATATTGAACTTAATCCCTTTTTTAACACCAAATAATGTTCTGTTTTATGTATATACTACATTTTATTTGAATACTCATCTACTGGACACTTAGTTTGTTTTCACCTTTTTAGCTATTATATATAAGGCTGCAATGAATAATGGCATATAAATGTGTTTGAGTTTGTTTTCAATTCTTTCACATTTTATACCTAGGAGAGCCTATGGTAATTCATGCTTCAATTTCTGACGAATCACCAAACTGTTTTCCATGTGGCTATAGTATTTTATGTCCTATCTGCCACATACAAGGGTTCCAATTTCCCCATTGTTCAAGAACCATATGTTGAAGAGACTATTTTGGCACCCTTGTCAAAAAACAATTGGTCACACATGTATGGGCTTATTTCTGAACTCTCAATTCTATTCCATTAGTTTATATCCTAGATTACTACCAAAATGTTTTGAACTTTGTAGTAGTATGGTTTAAAATTGGGAAAGGTGAATCTCCTAAGTTTATTCTTCTCTCTTCAAGACTGCTTTGTCTGTTTGAGGTCCTTTGTAATTACATATGAATTTAAAGATCATCCTTTAAATTCTGTAAAAAAGGCTTTGAAATTTTATTATGGGTTGTATTAAACCTGTAGATAACTATGCTAGTATTGACAGTTCAACAATATTAAATATTCCTCTCCTTGAACATGGGGATCTTTCTAGTATTCAGGTATGTCTTAGTTTTTCAACATTGTTTTTTTATTTTCAGTGTTCTTTCCCGTAACTCTTTCAAAATTTCCATAACTGATTAGCCCTTTTTAAAATTCATACTTCCTAACTATTCCTCCCACCAAAATTATTTTTTATATAAACTGTTTCATCCAATTGCTATTTTATTAATTATTTTTTTGGTGTGGGGAGGTTGCTTTCCTCTTTCTTTTTACAAGAAAAACAATTAAAAAAATCTTTAAGATAATGGAATAGAAAGGAATAAACTACTAACCAAGCGGCCATTTTTAAAAAATATTTTTTAGTTGTCAATGGACCTATATTTTATTTATTTATATGTGGTGCTAAGAATCAAACCCATTGCCTCACACATGCTAGGCAAGTGCTCTACTACTGAGCCATAACCTCAGCCCTAACCAAGTGTTTTGTAAGTAGACAAATGAAACTCTATTAATCACCACAAAGATATAAGGACTGAACATAAAAACAGAAGTAAAACTCTTTGGTACAGGAATAGTGCAATTTCTGCATGTAGTGCTTATAATAGGAACCTAATAGATTTTGTGTATTTAAATGACTATTAAAAGGATTTTCAAACAAACCTTTTTTTCAACTTCCAAAGGAAGTCTCACATCTCTTCTTAGGAAAAGCTGTGGTGATTCTCTTTGGGGATCCAAATTAGTCAATTCAGCAAGTATTTCTGGCCAGTCACGAACATGTTGCAAAGGTTTATGATAAGGCTTGAGCTGAAGGCCTGAAAAACATCTTTCCTTTTATAAATGATAATGTAAAAAAAAATTATTATGCCAATGCATATAAAAACTTTATTCTAAACTATGGGCACTTAAGTACTGAATATATATAAATTAAAAGTCTAAATTTAAATCACTATTTAATCATTACTATTACCTAATTTGTAGATAACTGCTTGTTTTTAATATAAGAATAATTCATCTAGCAAATTTATCAAATGTGCGTGAAATTTTTAATTCCATTATAACCTATTTAATTATATCACAATCAATAAAATTTGGTGTCAAAGATACGATTAAACCATTAGGTAACCAACCTTTATCAATTAAATTCTTTACCTATGCAATACTTTGTGTGGGGAAAAAAACGTATATATATGTATTTATTTATACACACACATTAACTTGCTGTTAACGAGAAAGGTTTGCTGGAAAACTAATGTAAAGAAAAGAACATGTGGATTATTTTGAGAGAGTTAATATGAACAATACATTTAATGGCATTCAAATCAAATGTTGTTGCAGGAGAAGAAAATTTTTGGTTTTTACTAGTTACAAAATGCTTTGAATGAAGGAGGGAAGGGGCCTTAAGGGCTCACCTGTTTCAGCAGTTTGAAATGTAATAATTTATACAAAAGAGAATAACATGGTATTACTTAAAATTTAAAGCAAATGATAAATGTTACATTGAAGTTTACCATTTTATTTCCAAAAAGGAATAATGGTGTTTAAACAATAAAAGAAAAACTATCTTACTAAGGTTTTCTGAACAGATCCAAATAGTGAAATACTGCTGAGTTTCTTGAGAGAGACGCATTCCTTCCATTATTTGCTGTACTGTGGTATTATTTCCATGCTTCAGTTCTACAGAACGGTATGATCCATCCATTCTGTATATTCGAACTTTTTCATACTAGGATAAGGAATGATAATAAATTAGGAAAACTGCTTAAAAATTACCTAACACAGTTCAATAAGACACTTTACTTTTAACTTCTAATCTTTTAGAACAGATTTCTAATACAAAAATATCAGAAAGCTGCTTCAAATGAGAACTTGTTGATAATATTTTAAAACATTTTACTTCCATTATTTATATTTTCTAAATTATTTTCTTCTGAATGTTCTGTCAAATAATTTTGGGCAACTAAAGAAAATGGTTCTTTAAAAATTCAAATTCTTCTGGGAGGATGTTTCATAGTTGTTAATGTAAAAGGTAAATATATGGGAAATATAGACTTGGTCACTGAACTCAGTTTTAGTCAAGTACTCAATAAGTATAATGGGTCATAAATCATACTGAAGATATGTGTAGCAGCAGTAACGTGTACTGAGAAGTCTTTTATAATGAAAGACTCTGAAGGTAGAAGTTGTAGAACAACAAATTTTGGCTAGCTTCCTTCCTTTAATTCAGAAAAACTCAGATAAAAGTGTTACAGGAAGTACCTGATGCTCCCAAGTAACTTCTAGGCCAAATCATTTTGGACTGAAGTACTTGATTCCTCTTCTTATCCATTCAAAATATAAAAATTATGCCAGAAATAAAAATGTGTTATAACTATACTGTTATAAAATTAATTGTAATGAAGTGTAACATAAGGTGTCTCTATTGCTTATCATTTCTTGTCTCTGTCTTATGGTCTTGGAATAGTATTTTGACAAAATGTGTATGTGTGATGAGTCTGTATGTAACACTTCCTAATGGAAGACATTATGTGTTCCTTACCATTTTCAAGAGTATTCCATGGTGTTAGATTCACAGATATACTAAATAAATACTTATTGACTAGTTGATGGTTAATATCTAGAAAGGCTCGGGAACATCAGTTACATCTGTTGGTATAAACCTTTTTATCTGGTTTTTAAGTTTTCAAATAGTTTTAAAATTAATAATAGTTTTATAATCACTATAACTTTTAGGTATAACAATTTCTTCTTATTGTAAATTCCTCTCCATTCTTGCTTTTCTTTTGTTTGTCTATGGTGCTGGGTATGGAACTCCAGGGCTTTGCACATGCTAATCAAGTGCTCTATCAATGAGCTATGCCCCAAGCCCTCTTCTCCATCTTAATGTCAATGCTAATTCTAAATTAAACTTTAATCTTTATAATACAATGTATATTTGTCATTAGATTTATCAGTTTATTTTGGGCATAATTAGATGGGAAGACTAGGTTGAAATAGCAGAAAAATAGAGCCAGGAAATCACCTATTTCAACTTTTGTGAGGGAGGGGGAAAGTTTTTACTAACTTGCTGAGACTAAATTAATAAATTATGTACAATGCTGAATTTACAAATATAAAATGTTGTTTAGAAGGGCTAATACAGAAATATTCTTCAATGAATAATCAGAATTATTTTACTCAACATATCAAGTTACATTTGTGCATCATTGAACATTTTAGTTGATGACATATGTAATGCTATATACAATACAGCCTATGTATATAAAAGGCTACACATGATTATCTAGGTTTGTGTAAAAATACTTTATGTTGTTCACATAATGATGAAATTGCCTAATGATGCATTTCTCAGAATAAATCCCTGTTTTAGAATGATTATATTGGGGGTTGGGGATATAAGCTCAGTTGGCAGAGTGCTTGCCTTGCATGCACAAGATCCTGGGTTCAATCCCTAGCACACACACACACAAAAAGATTACACTGGAAATTAGAGATTATACTGGAAATTATGTTTTCTTCTTTTTTTGGTGAAAGAGATTGAACCCAAGGTCTTGTGCCTGCTAAGCATGAACTCTATCATTGACCTACATCCCTAGTCCCCAAATTAGATTAATTATCTTGGAAGTTTTATTCATTTTTCCAGTTTTCATTTGGTTATATAAAAATAAATGTTCAGCCAGGTGCAGTGGCACATGCTTTGTAATCTCAGCAACTCAAGAGGCAGGAAGATCGAGAGTTCAAAGCCAGCCTCATCAACTCAGTTTGCCCTAAGCAAATTAGTGTGAGACCCCATTTCAAAATAAAGTATTAAAGGGCTGGAATATAGCTCAGTGTTTGGGCACCTCTGGGTTTAATCTCCAGTACCAAAAAAAAAAAAAAAAAGTTTAAATGTTAAGAATGACAACAAATGTAATACATGAGTTTTACAACAGTAAAGAGTCATCTAAGCTTTTATTCTTTCACTCTTGCCAGGTCCTTAAATTATCTATCAACTTAAAAGCTACGTTTGACTATTGATAAATGTAATCCTTACTGGTTTGTTAATGGCTTCCTTCAACAATTTTGCTGCTTCTTCCCAGTTGTTTTGTTTGTTTTCTTCACAAATATTTAATGGGGATCTTCCTTGTTGGTCTGTTATGTGCTAAAAATGTGGGGGAGGGAAGGCAAAAAAGACATTAAAAACAGTTTTCTAAGGGAAAACATTCAATTAATCAGAATTTCATAAAAAAAGATTAATGCAAAGTGTTAAGTAAATATTAAGGCTACATCGTACATATTCTATATCAAACAAGAATTGCCAAAGTTAAAAGACTGAAAGCACTAGTCAATGATATTATTGATTTTTAAAAGTTCTGATACAGATACAACAGTTTTTGTTATGTTTTTACTTTGCCCTTTAGAAACACTTGTTACTATGTGGATCGACCATCCTTTTTTCTTTCTCAAGACATTTTTTGGGAAATAGAATATAAAATGAAAAGTGGTAAAAATTTTATGATTCTGGTAAAGGGTAGCGGTAATGGTTGCACAATAATGTGAGAATGTACTCAATGCCACTGAATTGTGCACTTAAATGTAATTAAAATCATAAATTTTACATGAGGTATATTTTGTCAGGATAAAAAAAAACATTTAAAATGTATGCTCAAGAGAAAGCTCATACATAAATATTACTTAGTCTATAAAATGAAATTTATTTTTATTTTTTAGCTGACCTTTCAAATGTACAATGGAATATTTCAGTGTCATTACATATTATTTACTGCTTGGGATAGGGATAAATAGGGAAATAACTTACTCTGTCAACTTCTGGATGGTTTAGGAGAATCTGTACTATTTCAGCATGTCCTCCTCCAGCAGCAAAATGAAGAGGAGAACTCAGCTGTCCATTTAAAAGGTTTGGATTGCACTTTCCTTTCTCTAATAATATACGAGTGGCCTCAACTTTTCCATACCTACAAAAAAAAAAAAAAAAATGAAACTTACCTAAAAAAAATCATCTGGAATGTTTAAAAAAAATAAAAAATTCAGCCAATATCCAAGAAATCTAAGGCTTTTCTAGGTTAGATAGTAAAGCATTAATGGATTAAAACTGACAAAAAATGCTCTCAATGGTTAGGGATTTTTTATTAATTATTTTGGCTCAATTCTATTTCTGATCAATTGAGATAAAATATAACCAAATATAAGATAAAGAAGGTGATGGAGAAACACTCCATATAAAGTACAAAAGTTATAATTTTTAGTTAAAAATAGGTTAAGAGAAGTTGGGGATACAGTATAGTGGTAGAGCATGTGCTATCATATGCAAGACCCTGAGTTCAATTCCAGCACCAAAAAAGGAAAAAAAAAAAAAAAAGTTTAGAATCAGAAAGTAAGTCATAAACAATCTTATGGGAATGTTTTACATGTAGGCCTGACCATGAATTACAAAAGAGGCCCAAAGACAATCCTATATGTGGGTGCTACATTAAACTATGTGGAAGACACAAAGATACGATACAGAACCCTGCTCTGAAGGGTTTAATTAATCAGGCAAGACATTAACATGGATAAATTACATAATTTATAACTTTTGTACTTTGTACTGTTAGATTTAAGAATTTAGGATAACAACACAAATGGGACTTCACAATTGTCAAACCAAAATGGCATATATTTAATTATTTAAAACATACGAAAAGATGAATGAGTTTTGTCTTTTCAGGAAGTGTTTTGAAAGAGCAATTTGAACAGATTTGAAATAAGAAAGAACATAAGAAATGTTAAAGGGAGATAAAATATATATATATATATATATTTTTTTTTTAGAGAGAGAGAGAGAGAGAGAATTTTTAATATTTATTTTTTTAGTTTTCGGCGGACACCACATCTTTGTTTGTATGTGGTGCTGAGGATCGAACCTGGGCCGCATGCATGCCAGGTGAGCGCGCTACTGCTTGAGCCACATCCTCAGCCTGAGATAAAATATTTTAGGTAGCGGGGAAGGAGTAAGGAAAGCAAGGTCTCAGAAGAGTACAAAGCATGTGCCAGACATAGTGAGTCAACATCTTGATTACAGCCAAAGATTTATGAAACATTGCAATCAGAAGCAATGGTGAAAAATAATCTGTTATTTAGAAAGAAGAGGATGGAAGGAGAGAAGGTGAATGGAAATTTGGTTTTAGATATTTGAAGGAAACACTACATATTAGAATTGATCTGATTTGCCCTGAACGCTTTTCCCCTTTTACAAACCCTATGGTTTTTCTATACTCTGAATTGTTCACTTGTATCCTATCCCTTCTTATTCATGTGACTTTTGCTGGTGTTCTCCGCTATCAACATGCTCTTCTATTCTTCCTCATTTTGTTCAGATTGAATTCTATTAATTCTATTAATCCTTTGAAACGGTTTAGGATAAATTTCTCTATATTCCTAATAATACATTTTAGCATTTTATTTTTGTTACTCTTATGGGACTCACCTCATTTTAACTAATTTCATTCTTATTTATATACTTCTTCTATTACCCTGGAAGTTCATTAAGGGTAGAGATAATGTCATTGCATTCTCCAAAATGCCTTACGAATAAAAGATGCATAACTAAACTGTTAAGTAGGCAATTGAAAATGCAGGATTGGTTCTCAGAAGAGAGGCAAAGGCTTAGAATATCTATCTAGATTATGTACAATCATTTAACTGAAATGAATTACTATTAAGGTTGGAAGAATAGATAAAATCTTTCCGAGAGAGAAGTTAGAGAAAGATGATCCTCTTAGAACAATAAATGCATTTTGAAACACAGCCTTTCAGGGAAAGTCATAATGCGGGAATAATCCTAGAAGTAATAATAAAAATAATTAATACAAGCACGAATTCGAAGAATGAAGCCTGAAGTCAGTTAAGTAACTTGTCCAAGTCTCATAGTTACTAGCCAGAGTTAGAATCTGGTTTTCTGAATCTTTGTAGTTTCCACGTTCCAATACATGCTTGGATCATAGAATGGAGGCCAATATTTCATTAATAATAGTGATAGATTAACAATAAAATCTTGCATTTATATTAACTTTTACTAAAGTCTCATTACACTCTTGCAACTCCAATTTGTTCTTAGAATAAAGGGGCAGTCAACAATATGCAGGGCAGGGAAAGAGATTAAAAACTCAGAGAAGGTAAAGAATGTTTATGAAGATTGTGACACAGAAAACAAGAGAATGTGGCCCATTCACCTTTGAAGTGGCTTTGAAAGGAAGGAAAGAAACAGGACAGTAGCTAGAATAGGTAGCAAGTTCAAATTAAGGTTCTTTATATGTAGGGACAGAGAATCATGCATGAAGGCAAGAGCAAAGAAAGTTTGAAAAAGAAAATGGTGTCAGGAGCAGTGGCACATGCCTGTAATCCCAGTGGCTTGGGAGGCTGAGGCAGGAGAATCAAGAGTTCAAAGCTAGCCTCAGCAATTTAGCAAGGTGCTAAGCAACTTAGTGAGACCCTGTCTCTAAACAAAGTACAAAATAGGACTGGGGATGTGGCTCAGTGGTTGAGTGCCTCTGAGTTCAATCTCTGGTACAAAAAAAAAGAAAGGAAATGGTGATTTGAATGGGGAACAGAATGGAATTTTGCATGCATTATCTTATACAGAAGATGAGAAGATGTATGGAGACAAAAACTTATCATTGGGGTAAAGAACTACTTTTCTGTTTTCACCTTTCTTTGAAAATAGGGGGTAAAAGAGTATAGGGAGTTATGAAAGTTAAGAATGAAAATAGTGAGCATTTACATATTTAGGAGTAGAAAGCTTTAGAATAGTTTGTAGGGGAAGACCCAAAGCATGACAGAATGAATGAAGCAAAGCTAAGCTACAGTGAAGACCTCAATGAAATCAGATGGATTAATTCATAGTGAGCCATATCATCTCAGTTCTAAAAATACTTTCTGACAATGAACTAATGCCTAAAAGTACTATCAGAGAAAGAAGACAGTGATTTGATCCAAAACAGAGAGTCTGGCATAGAAAGGGCAAAGAGGTGACAAAATATGGGCTATGAGACATTTACAAGTGGTGACACATTGACAATATGGAGTAAAAGTCAATTTAAATAATTTGAGAAAATGGTAACTCAATATGTATTTAGGTGCCTGATCACTGATTAAGGAATTTTAACAGCTTTGAGCAATCCTAGGGGTGATATAATTAAATGATCCTCAAAAAGAGATCCAGAAATTCATAAGGACTGCTAAAAAATTTTCAGGGTCTTCTAGGTCAATATTTTCATAATAATAATACAAGATAGTATTTGCCCTTTTCATTCTCATTTTCTTCTTAGTATAAAGTTTTCTAGAAGCTATGTGACATGTTTTGCAACACACTAAAGGCAGAAGCAGATGTAAGAGTCTATTAAATAAAGACAGTAAAGAGATTTGTAAGACTGTAAAACAATGCCACTCTTCTCATTAATTTTTTTATTCTGGAAAATATGGCACTTTTATAAACTTGTATTATGCTAATACATATGTTTATTATTTTAAAATGCATTAATAAATATTTAGGCTATTTTTCTGTTTTCATTTTTAATGTAGTAAATAACATTAATTCCACATAAACAAAAAAGAACTCTTTGTTGATCCTATAAGTTTTAAAAGGAAAAATAGGTCCTGAGACCAAAAAGTTTGAAAAGTACTTATCTAATCAAAACCATCACTGTATTTACTTACTTATTTTTGGTACCCGAGTTGAACCTAGGGGTGCTTAAACACTGAGCCACATCCCCCAGTCCGATTTCCTAGTTTTTATTTTGAGACAGGTTCTTGCTAAGTTGTTGAGGCTGGCTTGGAACTTAAAATCCTTGATCTTCTGCCTCCCAAGTCGCTGAGATTATAGGAGTATGTCAGCATGCCTGGCTTCATTTTATTTTATTCTTTTTCTTTTTTTTTTTGGTACCAGGGATTGAACCTAGGGGTTCTTAACCACTGAGCCATATCCCCAGCCCTTTTTATTTTGAGACAGGGTCTCACTAAGTTGCTTAGGGCCTCACTAAGTTGCTGAGGCTGGCCAGGAACTTGTGATCCTCCTACCTCAGAACTCCTGAGCTGCTAGGATTAAAAGACTGTGCCACCACACTTGGCAAATACCCTCATTTTAAAGATGAGAAAACAGATCAAGAGGAGTAAAACATTGTTTTACCTTATAAAGACTGGACAAGCCCCAGAATTTAGGCTGTGATAGTTCAGTGTCCCCTCCTAGATCATTGTACTGAATAAGAGTATATTCCAAAATAAATTAATTTAAATTCTTAACTAAATAAACCATTCTTTATTCAAATTCACACCAAGAAAATGATGCATCTGATTAAAAGTATTGAAAGGTGACCCATACTATGTCTGGTGATCAGTATTTCTAGGAAAATTAATTTTATCAAATTTTCCTTGGTGTACTCTATTAACAAGAAGCTGAAATTAAAATACTATAGCTTAATAAGTTTTAGAATGAGACACCAACATCTTTACATTTTAACATTTTCTTTCTTTTTTGGGGGGGGGGGGTGCTGCAGATTGAACCCAGGGTCTCACGCATACATGCATGCTAATAAGCATATACTCTGCTACTGAGCTATCACCTCAACTACAACAATATTTAATAAAAGCCAACTTTATTAAGTGCTTATTATGTGTCCTCAAAGAACCCTATCTTCATTTTTCTTTTTTGATATAGTGCTAAGGACTGAACCTCAGTATGCTAGGCAAGTGCTCTACCACTGAGTTACACCTCAGCCCTGTATTTTCTTTTTTAATCTTAGGAAAAGTATCATTTTGAAGTCCATCTTACACATAAGGAAACAAACCCTTAAAGTAGTTAAGTAACTTGGCAATGGTCATACTTTTAGGAATAACAGATGCGACTGAAACTTAAATACCTTCCAAAATATGTTAAATGCTAGACTAGTGCTTTTATGTAACATGCAGTAGAAAACACTACCATTTTTTTATTAGAGAAGAAAAAAATATCTCCTGCCATAAACCACAATTCACTGCCTTGGCCTTTCCCAATCCCACAGTATAGCTGTTTGGGGTTTGATCTATAAGTTATACCCTTTTTGTTTATCTACAAGTAAAGCATGTAAATTTCTTTTAGTATTATTTACATCATCAGTATTTATCAGTAATCTGAGACAACAACTAGTAGATAACCTAAGCATGATTTAGGGTAACCCTAAATATAAATATAAAAATTTCCCAAACTGAAAACATAAGAGCAAGTTTACCAAATAAAAGAGCTTATTTTTAAGAAAACAGAAAAAAAAATACTTTAAAAGCAACTAAATTTAGATACTTGATCACAAATATTAGAATTAGAGAAATCAAAAGAATTCTGAATTGGAATGAACTCCAGAAATGGTCTAGTTATTGTATTTTACATACAGATAAATGAACTAAGATGCATATATGTGAAGTTCCTTGCTTAACATTGCACAGCTAAGATATTGTGGACAATTAACGGTTAGTAAGTAATATGGTACCATACTTTAAACAACAGGTCAAAAATAACTTTCTCATAGAAAAAAATTGTAATATAATCATGTTCTTTTGAGAAAATGGGCATTCTGTTAACTACAGCCACCAATATTGAAAACTCAGCCCAGCTAAGGGGAAATAGTATATTATGTGAAAAGAGTAGGATAGTAAGAGCTACATCAGGCAAGTAGTGTTAAGAGCTAACTCCGATTCTTTTCAAACCCCCACATCTAATAAAACGGAAGGTTCTGATTCTAATGAAGGTTTCTGATAACCACCATTTCCCAAAGAATGAAGAGGATAATTTCCTATGTTATTAACACATTCAAACTTTATAATAAGGATAAAATAATACAACATAAACCCAATATAAAACAAAAGACACTGCAAGGTAAATAAGGGACCTTGGGTTTAGCAGTGACATTTACTAGTTATTAACTATCCTACAGTAAGACTTGATGATCCCTATTAACAATGGCAGTACTTTCCCCATGGGTCAGACCTTGCAATTCTGAACAGTAGCACCTACACAGTAATCACAAGATCAAAACAGAAAGCTCAGAAGGCAACTATAGTGGAAAAAAGTGTCTGGAATGATAATAGTCTTTTTGATAAGATATATTAATATTTAATACTAAGAATTTATTCTCCCTAGAAAGAAAAGAATAAGTAATTCACTTACCAGCATGCATAATGAATGGGTGCCCAGTGGTCACTATCTAATTGGTTGACTGAAAATCTCTCATTGAGAAGACGGCTTAGTAATTCTGAATCTCCTTCACAGGCACTTCGATGAAGAGGAAAATCATCTACCCACTGTCGTTCTCTAATTATTAAAAAGAAAGTAAAAAAATGCAAACAGCATTGTTTAAATTGAAATTGTTTCAAAACAAATGTGACACACCTATTAAAGCTACATATAACTGAGCAGCTATAAGTTAACTATTAACTAGGTTGAAAAATTATAGCACGTATTATTTTAAACAATATTTTAATACTGTAATATATTTTTAAGGTTAGCAATATGGAGTAAAACCAAAAAAGTACTTGTCTTCTGTGACACTGCTCATGCTTCTCTGCCATTTTTCCTGTTTGGGAATTTGTATTTTTGAGTAGTCTGGAGCTCCTAGACCAAAGTATGGATTTATTACCACTTTATCTACCTAGAAAGTAGAAAACAAAACAAAAAGAAAAACTTCTTAAGAGCTTTTAATAATTGACCTTTATGTATATAAATACAGCATGGATGTCATCTTAATGTTTGTTTACAATTTACTATACACACACACACACACACACACACACACACACACACACCTCAGAAAAAAATTACACTTGACATGAAATGACTTTTGAAACCAAAGCCAAAATTCAACTCTTACCCGATTTGTATATTGAAGATCTGATCCAAACAAAGGGTTATAAATACAGGTATCTGCTTTCTCTAGGGCTAACATTTTACTCTTTATTTCTAATGCACTATAGCCCATATGTAGTGAGTTTTCTGCCTTGCCTGATTCAGTAGCATATGCAGGGTTTATGACATTAGTTTTTATTCGCTCAAGTGGAGAAGGTCGGAATAAAGCTGGAATAAAGTGAGACTGTGCATGACGTTCATCTAACCACCTAGCAAAATAGAAAAAAAGAGGTAGTAAAAACACTTGTTCAAAAATGAAGATGAAAAGGCAGACTATTAATTCTGATATGTGATACTTTCTAATATTACACTTGGATTTTTATAATCTTCATTAGTGTTGGCTAAGTACCTCATTTGTTAATAAAACTTTTGTTAATAGACACAAGTAAACAATTTTTAAAAATGTATATGCTATAGTAATGATAAAAACTCCTTTCAAAAAATGAAGTACCTTCAAAATTTACACCACTGAGATGTAGGTGATAAGAGTCCTACTGTTAGAGAAAGACAAAGGGAGAGATTAAATGACTTATTAATAAGAATATCTAAACACTAAATCCACTTTTGTAACAGAAGAATCTTAATTCCAAGGTCAGGGCAGTGTTCGTTACTTTTTAATAAAATTAACATGCTCTAAACAGATAAGCCAATCTTGCCTTGGGTGGTTTTCATTTTTATTTTATAATTGAAAAACTTACCATTTCTTAATACATATATTATTTTAAAAGTGTCTACATTGGACTCATTTCAAGTATAAACATGTATTTGATTATTCAAAAAATATATTTAATGGTACATCTTACTTATCCAAGGCTATTAACATTCTTGCTGTAAGTGTTGCAAAGTGAGTACTGGATTCACTACAGACTCTCATAATATCCTGTAAGCAGTAAAATATTGGGCATCCTGGAGTATATGTATATTTAGTATTATCTGAAAAAAAAAAAGAAGAATGGTGCCATCATAAAAAGGGTTATATCTACATTACGAAGTGAGTCATATTATACATTATATCTATGTAATATAAATATTACAAATACTACAATTGGGCAGTATATCTTAGAACTATTATTGACATTTCTTATCCTCAATAACAAAATAGGCTTTGATCATAATCTGTTTATTTCCCAGAATACTTAAATATCTATTTCTATTCTATCTACGGTATATCATTTGAAAAATTCCTGATTTTAACCTAAGTACTTTTAATCTCAATTATACCTTCCCCCCTCACTTTTCCGTCCTATTTAAAAAACTGAAATAAAAGCATCACTGGTTAGCCAATAATGCTTGTATACTAACCAATATACAAAGCCAAGAAGATATACATTAATTTGAAATTGAAACATTTTTGACAAGTCAAAATTTTTTCTATGAACTTAACATGTATTTTATAACAGTATCCCAATAGTAACTATAAATGCAAACTTCTAAGTTCCTCAATAAACTTTCACTTGGCATCTAACGTACATATAAGATAGGGATTGTACCTTTGACAACTGATGGAACAATAAATAATGATGCTTCTCTGCCCATCTTCTCTCCATCCAGAGGAAATTTCTTCATTAGTACCACTCGTTTTCCTAATCATTTTAAGAAAGGCCACAAAGATAAAAATAACAGACTTTTTTTTTGGTGCTGGGGATTGAACCCAGGGCCTTGTACATATGAAGCAAGCACTCTACCAATTGAGCTATATCCCTAGCCCCAAAATAACAGACTTTTATGTCTGACAAATTAACTCACAAAATAGAAAATAAATCTTTAGGAATTATGGATATAGCTCAGTAGTAGAGCACTTGTCTTAGTTTAGGCAAGGCATAATATCTGTGTTTGATCAAGAACATAATATCTGTGTTTGATCCCTTGTACTGCAAATAAAAAAATAAGTTTAAAAAGAAAAGAAAAAAATTTTAAGACAACATAAGAGGAACTGAAATATGCTTAAAAATCGGTTTTATTACATATACTAATAAAAATAATAATTCTGATTATACAGGATCATCCTGTAGTAAGCTAGTACATTTAAGGTCATAGTTTCACTTACTAGAAGAGAAGTTTCCTATGCATAGCAAGGAAAACTGTTCTGCTAAGGACTGAGAAAGCAGGTCCAACAGCAAGGCATCCTGTAAGGTCAACAAACATACTTCCTCACTCAGCTCTGATAAAGGTGGTAATTTTATTACAGTCTGGGTTCACTGAGGAAGAGTAGTATATGAAAGTTACAAAATCTTAAATGGTAGCTCTTTGTTATTTATCTTCCATCCTCAATATTAACTTTTATTAGAATCTGATTGGGCTACAAACTAATGTTCTGAGTCGTAATCACAATTCTTGAGTCTGTTTACCTTAATTTGGCATTAAGTGGGCCATCACTAAAAAACTACTAATCTTATACTCTAAAACCCCTCACTGTCTAGGTTCCTTTGCTATGATATTTATCAAATTTATCAATTTCTGATCTTCTCCCCTCAAGAAATACAACAGCTAGCAATGGGATGCCTCTGTGGATAAGGAGTTAAACAGATAAATAATTTCATGTATTCATAAAATATCAGTTAGTATTTCTAGTTTTTTTAATATTTATTTTTAAGTGTAGTTGGACACAATACCTTTAATTAATTAATTTATTTATTTTTTATGTGATGCTGAGGATTGAACCCAAGGCCTTGCACATGCTAGGCAAGCATTCTACTGCTGAGCTACAACCCCAGCCCCATTATTTCTAGTTCTTAAGGCCCTTTCTATTATAGTCCCAAAAATTATTTTACAAAATGGACACTTGTTCAAAGTATAAATGTTAGATATAGAATAACATTCTAATAAATGTCGAGGCACTATTTCTTTTGTCTTTTTAAAAATATTTTTTTAGTTGTAGAAGAACATAATATCTTTATTTATTTATTTTTATGTGGTGCTGAGGATTGAACCCAGTGCCTCACACGTGTAGAGGCAAGTGATCTACCACTGAGCTATAGCCCCAGCCCCTCTTTTGTCTGTCTTGAGGTCTCCTATTTACTTGATCCTTCCTGCTTTGCTGCTTTCCCAGATCTGGTTCAGATTTACTGTTGAACTGCCTATTTTATAAGTCATATCTGTAACTATGAGATCTGTTGTGGAAGGAAAAAAAGGCACTGACTTCAAAATGAGATGTGAGGGTTTAGTTCTAATTCCTCAATTAATAGCAACATGCTCTTTACAGGTGACAACCTATATCTGCATTTCCAATTACAGTTGTGAAAATGTCCACATACCAACTCACAGGACCAATTAAAGAATTTCAGGAATAAATGTGGTAGCAAAGCATATAGAATACTACACAAAATGCAAAGCATACCTACTGCTACTATAGTTGTTTGTGATTTCCATGTGATACTTACACAATGAATCATTGGGACATAGCACCTGCTTATTAGCATGTGTGAGTTCCTGAGTTTCATCTCCAACACCAAAAACAAATAAAAACCCAAACTTACACAAAACAAAACAAAGACACCCCCCAAACCCTTAGACATTTACAAAAGCTCAATTGAAAAGGAGATTAATAGTAAATTCCACTATTTGTGTTCATTAAAAGCTGCCTGAAAATATATTAGTATATTTTATTGTCTAAATGGGTAAAATTTTGCTAGGCATGCTTCATTTATAATTCTTCCTAAGGGAAACTGCCTAGCACTCTGGGCCAGGGGAATTTTTGTTAATACTGACACCTCTCCCATCCCCGCTTTTGGGTGAATGAACCTAGTAGCAAAGCTTGGCTTATTCACAGCAAATTATTACTTATCTATTTCAGCTCAAATACCTCACAGACTAATCAGATTTCTGTCTCATGGATTCAGTCTCAGGATAAATCTTGATAACTATAACAATTTGGCAATCGTGGAAGATGAAAATTTGACAGAGAAGTCAAAAGACTAAGGTAAAAAAGACTGGCAAATTTGTGATATCCACAGTCTTTCACACACTTTAATCCCAAAAGGATGTTCTTCTTTCCCCTCATCCTGCTTCTTTCCCCCTAGGGTAAAAATGGTTTCTAGATCATTTTATTAAAAAAAAAAAATCCAATAATCAGGGGAAAAGGATTCTTTTTGTGAGATTCAGAATATATATCAAAGATCTGCAAAGTTATGGAGGAACTTCTTACAATCTTGAGTTATAACAGAGTCCCAACTCAGAAAAACCCTTAAAAGCTCTTCTGTGGAAGTAACCTATTTGAATCATATAATAAAGTGAATGGTACCTCAGAAAGTCATAACACAGCTGTATAGCTCAGCTAGATTATGTTTAGAAAACAAATATGGAAAAAAACTAACAAATCATAAGACCTGGCTATATGTCTGCAACAAATAATCTTTACTAAAACAGGTGAATCAGACACCTAATTTCTACAGGGGAACAACGATAAAAAACTGAATAAACTTTAAAAACCAAAAGTAGACACAGAGAGGTACTCTTTATCTCACTAACAACTGGTTTCAACTTCTTTTTGATTGAAGCAAGCATTATCTTTTTAATTATGACGCCTGAATCTTGGGCATAGTTTATAGTTTCTGTAATTTCTGACCACTTTTGCTTGTTAAAAGGATATACCCTGAGAAATTGGATCATCAATTTTTAATCACTTTTACTGTCTATACATTATTTAATATTTTAAATGGTGCCTCAATCTTTCAAGGTTAGTGTGTCTACACATTAGTTTCACTCTTAGAAAAGGGACTTATTTCTATGGCCAAATGGAAAGAAAATCCCTGCTATCTGGTAACTTCCAGGATTTCCCATAATCCATGAATGTTAACTTTTACTTAGTTATAGATAGAGGTTTATAATTTCTTTTGTACTGGAGTAGAAACATAAAAATAGTAGTTCAATGATACTTACCTAGAAAACTAAACTTTCAGCAAATGAAATTTGTAATTGATTATAGTTTTTATTTTTAAATTTTTTTTTTTAGTTGTCATTGGACACAATACCTCTATTTTATTTATTTATTTTTATTTGGTGCTGAGGATTGAACCCAGTGCCTCGCATGTGCAAGGCAAAGCATTCTACCGCTGAGCCACAACCCTAGCCCATAGTTTTTTTTTAATTGATTAAAAAAAAAATGACAGCAGAATGCATTACAGTTCTTATTACACATATATACCACAATTTTTCATATATCTGTTTGTATATAAAGAATGTTGACACCCAATTCCTGTCTTCATACATGTACTTTGGATAATGATGTCCATCTCATTCCACCATCCTTGCTAATCTCCTGCCCCTCCCTTTCCTTCCCATCCCTCTTCCCTATCTAGAATTCATCTATTCCTCCCATGCTCCCCCTCCCTACCCACTATGAGTCAGCCTCCTTATATCAGAGAAAACATTCAGCATTTGTTTTTTTGGGGATTGGCTAACTTTACTTAGCATTATCTTCTCCAACACCATCCATTTACCTACAAATGCCATGATTTTATTCTCTTTTATTCCCTGCCCATAGTTTTTAAATCACTACTTCATTTCCTTTCTCTATTGACCAAATCATTAACATTGTGATTTCTTTAAATGCTTTTCAAGTTTTGAGAAAAATTATAGTTGAATTACTTCTTAAGAGGCTTGATATAATTAATAAAAAACTTTCTGTTTTGTAAGTTTTTCAAATGTAAAAAAATCAAACTTTGATTTTTGTATATTTTAAAATATATCTTATTTTTACAAGTATTTAAAGAAAACTGAGTTAAGAAAAATAAAGAAAAGTTTCCTACCTCTGATACCCTGGTTTGCTGGAGAAATTGGCTTGGTGGTTTCTACGACATAATCCAATATGCCTTGTGTAATTTCACTGTTGCCTTGAAGTTTAGTTTCCAACAAAACTTTCTTTCTCTTTTTTTTCTGTCCTTCAATGGGAACTTCATGCAATAGAATCTTAAATAAGAAAAATATCAGTAAGAGAAAGTTTAAAATAAAATGTGCCTTACCTAAAATACTGTAATACGCTAATAGCCGTTCTCAGCTCTAGTAATATGTCTAGTAATAAAGTAGAATAGCTTTAAAATAATAATATCAACACCCATCCCTAATCTCAGACCTATTAAATCAGAATGTCTAGGAACTGGAGTTCTGATACTAACAGACTCAAAAAATTTCCAGGTAATTCATCAGTGTAGCCACAATTGAGAAGGAGTAAGCAAACGCATTGCTGGAGCAACAGTCTACAGAAAACCCCTGCAGTACCTTTTAACAGGTTTCAGAAAACCTGGAAAGAGCAGCTTAAGTAAAATACTAGAGGAATTAGGTTAGATTAAAAGTAATTCATAGTGCTAGGCATCTGTTGTATAGAAAAGATAACAATTTAGTTAGATATATTTTTGTCTGAATTACAAGTTTACCAATGCATGTAATACAATTCAAGACCACAGAGAAGTCACTTGATTGCCTAGAACTTAAGGGAAAAATATACATTAAATAGTTAAAAATAAACTGTGAAAATGAGAACCATGTTTACACAAACATTTTGAGTGAGTTGACTTTTGTAGTTTTTTCATTTTTGAGAACCATTCTACAAACTGTACTAAATCTAAGTATATAAATTGTAAGAAAAGCTCAAAGGAGTAACTTTTACTATATAATAACCTACACACATAAATCAAATAGTTAAATGCTCAAAAGGCATGCAGCAGAAAGACAATGATGGATAGAGATCTAGAATAACCAGCTTATCAATAAGGTTTAAAATATATAATAAATAAATAAAACATATTATAAAGTTTTATATGTTAATGATAGCATAGAATGACATTCAGTGTAGAAAATCAAATGTCATTAAATTTTCTCACTTCATATGACTTAGCTCTGTATTCCCGAGAATTGAGACTGGCAGTATTCTTCGGCCGAATAACAGCAACATAGGCATCTTCTATGTTTTCTGGATTTCCCATTGCTTTACAAAACAAACAAAAATTCCTTAAAGATTAAATGACACAATTGGTGGCAAAGTAAAAAATAGAGTATTATATCCCAACTTGAAAATCTTTTATTTCCAATAATCACTTTGGAAACAATTAAAAAATGTTTACTTATATATCTTCGACTTGATAGTACCTAAAAGGCAAACCAGAGATAACTTTGATTGTATCTTTATCACGGAACTATTCAAAATATTAGCTTATAATTTAAGATTTTCCTATAGTCTTTTAAATTCCTTCTGTTAAAGGTAAAAAATTTCAAAATGAAGATACATATTTTCATAGATCTTAACGACACAGTTAAGAATCTGTCTTTTAGGCATAAAAAAGTCATGAGGTTATAAAATATTTTGCAAATAATGACTTGAAATAATGATTCAGAATAATGCACACTCACTTTCCATAAATTATACAAGTGAATGAGATGTATGGACACCTCCTTAAAGACTGAAAACCCCCTAAAAGACATTGTATTGTGGAGACATTGTATAATATACATGGCACAATTACACAAACAAGTTTTGCTATTAAGTATCTACAAAGAGAAATCAAGTAACTCTTAGTTTTCCAAAATGAATTTAAAGCAAATCAATTCCTGTCTTGGCCAACCTAGGCTAAGAAATCAGTCAAGTGCTTTATTTGTTAATGCTCATCACTTAGGTTTTTTTTTTTCTTTTTAATTTTTAATGTTAGCATTCCCAAAAGATTCTTAAAACTGGCTTTCCAGAAATATTCACATTTGACTATTTGAAATATACATTCTTCCTGTGACATGAAATAAGTAAACAAAGGCTTTTTTTAGGGAAATAATATTCCTATATTAATAATGAAGGTAAAGCCTGAAAAGATAGAAAACACATACAAATGGATAGGAAGAAAACAACTTGAGCTAAAAATAATGAAGATATAACTGGATATGTTATGAAACGTTGAGACTGAGTTTTAATAACGGTTTAAGTGACTATGTACAGGAAACATGTGGCATTTTGTCATATTTCCCACTCTATACCAGAAAATGCTGAGGCAAAAATAACAATATACTAAGTAATGAGGCCTCAGAAATGAAGTGTTGGGGGTGGTATCATTTTAAAATACACAAGGGCATTTTTGGTTGTGACTATGACTGGAGAAGGGGAGGTAGAGAAGAAACATTTGGTGCCCGAGGGCAGAATAATATGTTAGACTGCTTGCAAACAAACTCTAAAGAGACACAGCTCTCTGGGAGAGTGGGAAAGTAATGGAACTGAGATTTTTAGTTAGGCCAGCTAGATAAAAAGACTTCTGGTGAAGCTAAAAGCACGATGGAGAAAAAGCAAAGAAAGAAAACGAAAAGCCTCAAAAACAGAAGAAAGGGAAAGTGAGTTATGATGACAAGCTCCGACTCGGTTTTCCTACCTGACAACAAACACTCTGCCTTTCACTCCCCCACCTCCGCTACCACCCTTCAAGGAAAACTGCAAGCTTCTTTGCGCAGTTTCCACCTCAAAGGTAGCTTTGGCTTCTCTGTAACTATTCGTAGAAAGAAATTCCTTGCCTGGAGAAACTAGATACGGAGGTGATTCGGTCTCCGAGTTCTTTTCTTTCGCTGGAATCTGGATCTCGCTTCTCGTTTCCGCGAAGGAAACCTAGCGGTCTCACCCGTGCTGGCGGCCCAGTCTCTGGGGCCGCTACATTCAACGCCCAGGGAGGGACGGTCAACGTAGGGGCGGGGTCCGTCACCGTGTTTTCATCCCTCCTTCCCTTTTCCCAGGCACAGCAGCCCGGCCCCACTTCCTGTAGCAGCAGGACCCTCGGTCGCCACCAAAAGACGCCCGGCGCGTTCTCTCGCGCTCGCCACCCCACACCCCGAGAGCTCGGGTCTCTGGCGTCGGAGAACCTTTTGCGCACCCGCTTTTTATTGTCCTTCCCTTTCCTCGCGCCTGAGCACCGTTCACCCTTGCACTTTCTCCAGAAATTATGGGCTCCCAGATCTTCAAAGGCCTTATCTTTTCATCCTGCCACTATCCGGGTGAGAAAATCGCTTCCGGGTTCACACCCCTCGCAGCCTCGCGGTTGGTGGCGGAAGAACTTCCGGGTCGGCAGCAGAGGCGCTACCGTTCCTGCCCGCTGCTGGCCCGGGCTACAAGGCTTTCTGGGACTGGCGGCGGGCGGCTCGGAGACCGCGGTGGTGGCGGCGGAAGCGACGGAGCCGGAGGCAGGGGAGGGGAGGAGGGAGGCCGGGGCTACGCGCGCACGCGCGCGCAAGGCTCGAGCATGAGCCGGACTTGACCGTGAGGCGGAGGCAAGAGCCACCGCCCCCTCTTCACCTCCCCCGAGAGAGGCGGCGCGGCGGCCAGAGAGGGATGGGGGGCGCTCGCCCAGTCTGAGCCTCTACACGGTGCCCTCGGCTCACGCTACGCTTTACGCCCGCTTTAGGCCCGCCTCCAGTGAGCACCCTGCACCCTGGCAGCCTCTGTTTAGCGGGTGCACCCAGGCGCGCGAGGAAGGGGCGCCTGTCCGGGTGGGTGGGGCGGGGAGGGTACCTCAGGACACCGGCTCGGCGCGAGAGGCAGGGGCGGCCGCGGCGGAGGCAGAATTGCAGACGTGCGGAGTCCAGCCAACCCTTACCCTGAGCCCAAGAAGTAACCGTAAGTCTCAGCCTCTCCGTATGGGTTTGTTTGAGGCTGTCTCAACCCATTTTGGGATCCGACTTCAGACCTGCCTAGTTCACGCCCTCTCGTGTCTCTTACGAGCGTGAGTCTCCCCTTCTGGAGCACTGTCCGTCTGTCCCCATCACTGAACAGGCAGCATCCTGTGTCTGCCTTGTGGAGCTCTTCCTCCTGACGAATTTGCAAGCCACCTGGTTTCTGTGACGCGTCCCATCCTCCCCATCTAGATGCATCGCCTTGTCCCTCTGTCCTCAAAGGATTTGTGCCCTCTCTTTCTATCAGTACCCCCAGACACAGCCTCCCTAGTCCATCTTTGAAACGTGGAAAACCATGAGTTTTACCAACCTCAGGCTCTGGCTAGTGTCTTGAGGAGCTGATGGATGATAGGGTCTGCAGGGCTCTAATGGGTGGGGATAGGTGTGGATGGCTTCGGTAAATCTTTAGTTTTGCTGCTTTTGCCACCAAAACAAAAGAATGGGGCGCTTTTGTGTACCCTTACTCCTCTCCTTTCCTAACTATGTGTGTGCACTGTTTTCTGTATGTTGCTGTTTGAGTCGAAGGAAATTGGAGCTGGAGTGTTATTAAGCATCTCCTGAGGTGGTTTTGAGAATTAGTCTCTCAAGCTCTATTTACATGGGATGGCTTATTGAACAGTCTTATATTGAAATGAAGACCCATTCCCAAACTGCATTACAACTAAGATCCGAGAAAGAATATGAAAACAAAACCCTGAGGCTCCAAGTAGTATGTTTTGGATAACTTTAGATAATTTTAAGTGTTTTGATTTACATGTAGTTCTTAGTTTGCAAGAGTGAATGTGTATGATGTGAAAAATCCTTGTATTAAAAGCTTTTTCTTTGTTAATGGAGACATACGGTGGTTAAAATATGGTTTTTAAAGATCATGTCAGATTATATTTTATAAGGTATTAATTTCCAAGGAACCGACCTTGACCACTTGCAGATGTTGCACACCTTGGTGCCTACCTTCCTCCCCTTAGTCAAAAAAAGTTAACTATGAATGTCTTTAATGTTTATTTTCAGATTTTTTTACTAGACCTTTTTTCTCATTAAAATTTAATTGCTTTCTTTTTTAAAATTTTTATTGCATTTTTAAAATTATTTTTTCCTTGTAGGTGGACACAGTATCTTTATTTTATTTTTGTGTGGTGCCGAGGATCAAACCCAGTGCCTCACTGGTGCTAGGCGAGTGAGTGATCTACCACTGAGCCACAACCACAGCCCCTTGGTTTGCTTTCTTAAGCTGATACTGCAGAACTTTCCAGAAATTAGATAAAAATATAATTTTAATACTGTCCATGATTAGAGAGTAGGTCTCATATGCCTTCATGAATTTACTACTTTTCAAAGCACCATAGAAATAAAATAATAATTTAAGAATAATATTACTCTGTGCCTTGCAGATTCAATGTTGTTATTCTCTAAATTAGTAGTCCAGTAGCTTTGGTGATGGGTTTCTTGAAACGTTATTTCATTAAGAGAAATAGATGTATTTAATGTTTTTCTCCTCAACCTCTTCTCAGCAGTTGGTTTGGGGCTATTTGACCTGTAACTTACACTTAACAGATTTTAGTTTGAAATAGGCTCAGGAGACGTAGCCTCAGCTATCTCTCTGGAAATGTACATTTACTTGTCATAGAAGCCAAGCACTGTTCAGAGTTGAGTGTATTATTAAGGGTGTGGCTTTTGTGTTCTGTAAAAATGATCAGTTTTTAAATAAGAAAAAAAATGGGTGTCATAGTGAGCTGATGGGCAATAACTTTGTGAAATCTTGAATAAACTAATGTCTATTGATTCTTCTTATCCTTGGGATAGGGTGGGAAAGATAGGACCATATTTTCATATTTCACTTGTTTTTCCCTTCATGTCTCTGAGGATTTTCTGTTTACAATACCAAAGAGCTCTAAAATCATGCAGACTCTCCTATGCAAGGACTACCACAGGTAGCTGCTTAGACATGGGAGATAAGGTTTTTAGCCAACCTTTTGTATTTTTTTAATACTTATTTTTTAGTTGTAGTTGGACACAATATCCTTATTTTATTCATTTACTTTTATGTGGTGCTGAGGATCAAACCCAGGGTCTGGCACATGTGAGGCAAGCGCTCTACCCTGAGCCACAACCCAAGCCCCACCCTTTTGTATTCTTAAGGCACTGCCCACTTTTGAGAGAGTTGATTGTCTTTCCTCTTCACTTTGTAGAGATATATATATATATATATATATATATATATATA